AAAATCAAAAGTTTGAAACTTGACAAAATAGACTACGAACTGTCCTCGGCTAAATTAATAAGACATGGAATTCTTATCAAAATATTAATTAAAAAGTTGAGTGCAGGTTTTTTCCCCATTAATCACACTAAAATCAAATCAAATCAAAATGAGAAAATAATTACACTAAAATCAAATCAAATCAAAATAAGAAAATGCGAAGCAAATGATATTTTATAGAAAAGTATAGTAGTAGTAGTATGTAATCAAATCAAACCAGACATGTTTCTCATTATACTATTCAAGACAAGACGTTTACTAGTGGCCACACACAATTTTGTACCACCCAAATAGTATCCATTAATTGGACCACTCAACCAAATATTATACTATTCAAGACAAGTCGTTTACTAGTGTCCATTAATATAAATGACTTCTGTCGTTATGTGCAGCAATGCAGCGTTTTTCTCTTATATATTACACACAATTAAGTTACAGATGACACAAACTCCTTTACAATTATCAAAAACACCACATCTTTGAATAATTAAACAACGCCAATGAAGTCACACTTTTGCAAGTCCAATATCTTCATGGCCTTTCTTTCCACAGCTCCACTGCTAATTCATCTTCTAATTCTAACTTGCTTGTTCTCGTATGTGCAGCCACGTTGCCACAAGGATGAGAGCACTGCCTTGTTGGAATTTAAGAACAGCTTTGTCATACGTCGGGATGCTTCTAGTGATCCTTTGGCTTACCCGAAGGTTGCTTCATGGTCGCCAAAAGAGAAAGCTGATTGTTGCTCTTGGGACGGCGTCGAGTGTGACGAGAGCAACACTCATGTAATAGCTCTTCATCTCAGTAGCAGTTGCCTTCATGGTTCTATCACCTCCATCAATAGTCTTTTTCGTCTTTCTCATCTTCAAATCCTTGACCTTGCCGCTAATGATTTCAATGGCTCTCTGATCCCTTCTCAATTGGGCAATCTTTCAAGGTTGACGTATCTCAATCTTTCTATGTCTGTTTTGGCAGGCCAAATCCCATCACAAATCTCACAACTCTCCAATTTGTCATACCTTGATCTCTCTCAGAATTACTTGGAATTGAAACGGCCTGACATAAGTACCATTGTTAGGAACTTCAGTAACTTAAAACATCTTGACCTTAGTTATGTTGACATCTCCTCCCCAGTTCCTAGTCTCTTGGCAAATTTCTCCGCTTTAACATCCCTTTCTTTGCGGGCTTGTAGACTATCCGGTAAATTCCCTAATGACATCTTTCAACTTCCAAACTTACAACTTCTCGACTTGGGACAAAACGACAACCTTACAGGTTCTCTTCCTGAATTTCGATCCAGTAATCCTCTTAGAATATTATGGCTTGACGGTACTCGTTTCTTTGGTCATATACCCTCTTCAATTGGAAACCTTGATTCTCTAAGAGGGTTGGATCTTCGTGTTTGTAGGTTTTCTGGCCCATTTCCATCTTCGCTAAGCAAACTTTCAAAGCTTCAATATCTTGATCTCAGTTGGAATGATTTCAGTGGGACAGTGGATTTTAACACGTTTCTTAACATGAAAAATCTCACCGACCTTGGACTCTCTCATAACAACTTGTCGGTGCTCATCCCAAATTTGAAGAGTGTTGCAGGAAACATAAATGCAACTCATCCCAAATTTGAAGTTTTGTTTTTGGGATCATGCAATTTAACAAGTTTTCCTGATATCTTAAGATACCAAGATAGGCTAAAGCTATTGGATCTTAGTGAAAATCATATACATGGCAAATTACCCAAGTGGATCTGGAACACAAGCATGGAGGTATTTTACATAACTTCCAACTTCTTCGGAAGCTTCGACATTGATTTCCTCCCTTCTCGTAGTCTACGCATATTGGATGTTTCAAATAATAAGTTTACTGGACGACTACCAATTCCTCCTCCATCTATTATTCTCTTTGCCGCCTCACATAATGAATTGAGTGGAGAGATTTCGCCACTACATTTCAATTTGAGCTCCATTGAATATATTAACTTGTCTCATAACAAATTGAGCGGTGTGCTTCCAGAATGTTTGAGAAACATCAAGCACAACCTTTCTAGTGCAGGATTTTCTCAAATGTGTCCATTTGGAAGCCGGCTACAAGTGATGGATTTGAGCGATAATCAATTTCAAGGGAGTTTACCACGATCACTGTTGGCCGATTGCATGGAGCTTCAAGTTCTCAAGCTCGAAAGCAACCGTTTCAATGATGTCTTCCCTTCTTGGTTGGGGACTCTTCCGAAGCTCAAACTACTTCTATTACGATCTAATAAGTTCCATGGTGCAATCACAAGAAATTTTGATTCTGATTACGACTTCTCCAGTTTACACATTATTGATCTGTCCTACAATAATTTTTCAAGTTTTCTGCCATCTGAATACTTCAAGAAATGGATTGCCATGAAGGCTCCTGGCGCTAGCAATTCATCTTATTTGGCTACTACCATAAGGATAACGATCGAATATTCAGGAACATGGTACTTTGAGTATACTTATCCTTGCTCTGTTACCATTAAAAACAAAGGCAAGGATATGCAATATGAAAGGGTCCAAGAAGTTTTCACAGTGATTGATCTTTCGAGCAACAGATTCCATGGCGACATCCCAGAGTGTATGGGGGAACTACAACGACTCCAAGTCCTTAACCTTTCCAACAACATGCTTACTGGTAGTATCCCTTCGTCAATCTCCAGCTTAACCCAACTCGAATCGTTGGATCTTTCCGTAAACAAGCTCTCTGGGAAAATCCCTCAGCAACTGGTGCAGCTCACATTTCTTGCATCATTCAATGTATCTTTTAACCATCTCAGCGGACCAATACCGCAAGGGAGTCAATTCTCTACGTTTGACAGTAGCTCGTACAAGGGAAATGCAGGATTATGGGGTTATCCATTGGAAAGTCTCAATACTCCTAAAGCGCTGCCGCCTTCAGATTCAGGTTCTGATGAAGATGATGATGAAGATTCAAAGTCTTGGTTCAAGTCTAATTGGATTACAATTCTACCGGGATTTGTTGGTGGATTGATAGTTGGAGTGGCCATAGAGCAGTTTCTTGCAGTGGACAAGAGTGAATGGTTTCTCAAGGTTGTGGATTTTGTGGTTTTGACCAAAGCTAAAGGGAGAAAAGGCAAGAAGCTGAGACGTACGACTTGAGATTTACTGCCATAAGTTTGTGTTTTTACTGCTAATAAATAGATTGTATTTAGGTTTCTTCCTTTCGTCAATGTTGCCTAAAAATATTACAACGTCCTGATCTATTGTACATGTAAATTTAGCATCTTTCTAGTTATTATGTATAAGATTTCGTTTCCTATTTTTGCCCATCTAATTTTTATTATATTAAACAAATTATCACTTTGAGTTTTGTATGTTCGTCTTAGAGAAATAACTAAATAAAGATTTTGTTTTTGCCTTTTTGTTGATTCCATTAGGAATCTAGGATATACATAACCAACTGTGTATGTAATAAATAAATAAATAAAAATAATAATAAAAACTCGTTTTTGTCAAGCTGTGTAATTCTTAGATGAAAAATTTTCGTACACTTTTATTCTTAGAAACGTTTTTATTTTTTTTATTTTTTGAAAAACGTGAAAAAAGGAAATTAATTCTAAATACGGCCGTAATTCATTTTTTTTCTTCCTTATGCCCAAGTTGAATGATGATGAACATTTGTTTAATTCCTCTCTCTTAAATAGTGGTTAATTGAAAAACATGTGCATAAGTATTGAGAACAAAAGTTTTTTATTTATATATTTGTAAAAATATTTTTAATTAATGTACACATGGACGAAGTGAATGCTCATTAATTTGCACTAGGTCCAGGGCTTGTACAAAATATATGTAGCTATAACTAAAGCTTAACCCGTTGTGCGATTTTGATCAAGAAGCGTAATAATTGACCACAACTACACAAATAAGTACTGGAAACCCTCCAAACACGTCAATTTCCAGATTTTAGGTGGTTCATTATTAACTGACGGTGTATTTATTTACACAACTTAAGTAATAATTTAAATTGTATATGTAAAAAAAAAAAAAAAAAAAAAACTATTGTTAAAAAATTAAATTTAAATTTATATGAAAATATACTGTAATTATATAGAGATACTCAAACGAAAAAGGAAACGAACCTCTCCTATAAAAATGGGATAGAGATCAACAATTGGAAGGCTAATTCCACTCATTTTGACCTCATTCTTAGTATTCTCTCTCTAAACTCTCTCTTTCTTTCTCATTCTCGGCTGTAATTGTATTTTTACACAATATGCTCAAACCTCGAGATCCTATAGTGGACGTAGCATTCTCATTCGAGGTGAACTACTATAAATCTGCGTGATCATTTATTTTTTGATTCTTTACATTATTATTGTATTTGCATTAAATCAACTCGAATCGACTCGAGTCGACTCACTGACGCGATCATAACCGGGAGCTAGCAGCCATTGGCCCTTAATTTCGTATTAAGCAGAATTTCCCCCTAACACATGACACAACCCAAACTGTAGCACAAATCTCTTAACCCTCTAGGCTCCAGCTTTCAATCCCTTGAATTTGACAAAAGAGAGCAAAATTAATAAAATGGGGCATATGTAATAATTTTACAAGTTCGGTGATAAATTGTCAAATTAGAAATTTAAGAGACAGTTGACAAAATCCTATAATTTAAAACGATAAACGCACGTATAAAATACCCAAAAAGAAAACATATACGCAACTAAGAAAAATAATCACTGACTCAAGTCGAACCATGCATGCAACTTGACAAATGCGTTGAAATTAGTACCCTTCAAAAACGTTTAGAGATTTTTTTTTTTCAAAAAATAAAATAAAATAAAATCCATCTTGACCAATTAATAGTATGCATATGTTGGACCCACCCTTTTAATTGAGCATTGACAATAGCTCAAAATGTCCAGTAAGATCAATTTGGCAATTTCTTTTTCTGGCAATGATGGAGGCATATTTGGCAATTTCTTTTTATGGGGATTGCTGAAGCCGGCCAATGACCGGGAACAACTCTGACGAACAAAGGAACTGTCTACATGGTGTGTGCGAACACATCTTCACCAATGAAAACAGAGCTATCTTAAGAGGTGACTCGTTTAAGGCATCTTTCTTACTTGGATTCAGAGCTACTGCTGAACAGTCAGCCACCAACTTCAGTAAAGCCTGTAAATTACAAAAGTATCCAAGTAAAAAGCGAATTGTAGATTATTTATAACTTACGTATGTAGTAGGCAACAAAGTATTAAAGCGGCTAGAGAAATTAACGACCTCTAATGGAATGTTTGTTTTAAGGGTTCGTCTCTGGTTCTGAATCATGGTTCTTAGTTCTTCTCTCACAAAAAATTTAAATTTTAAAAATCAGAATCATGAATCATGATTTTGAATTCATGAACCAAACGTCCCATAAGAGTGTATTTGGGCATTGCTTGATATAATATGTGAAAAGGCAAGGCAACATTTACACAAACCTGCAGGGCTCCTTTGGATACAATGTCTTGACAAAGCTCGTTGGAGTTGCGAATAAGATTGCTTAATGCACCAGCAGCATTTAATTTGGTCTTGTCTTCTTCCGCTGAAAGCAACAAATTCCCAAGCTGAGGTATAGATCTTCTGAGCTCTCCGTACAATGTGTCATTATGGTAAGCAGCATTTCCAATCTGCAAAAGAAGCCATGTATTAGAAGGCTCGTCTTTGGATTGCCTTGTGTTTTCCTTTGTAAGAAAAATGTTGTTAATTCATTAAGACAGATCCTTATAGCAACATGCAATTTAAATGTAATTTAAGAGATTCAAATCAAAATGTTTTGATCTTGCATAGCAACTGAACTTACAGCGAAGCATGCAAATTTTCGTGTGCGTTTATCTGGATCAGAACATCGGTCGATTAGAAGGCCAATGATTTGACATCTTGCCTGAAGCATGAAATTCAATAGAGTTCATGGTCGGAATTAATCTAGAACCCTTGTAAAGAACATGAAAAATGCGTAAAACCAATCTACGCATGCTTGTAACAGAATGAGTTTTATCTCCAATATCCACCACATAAGGACTAGTCTTTGTATCTTTACAAATCTTTGAAGCGTTTAAATGGTTTAGTCCAATAAAAATAATCAACTTTTCATTCCTTACCAGTGTACTATAAAAGTAGGAGCTATATCGACACATGTTGCCTAGAGCATTACAGGCTTTTGCACGTATGTTGGGATCTTCATGGACAAGAAATTCCTTCAAATGCTCCAAAATAGAAGCCCTGTTGATGAATTCATAGAATCCCTGAACACCAAAAGAGCCAAATTTAAGATTTTGGTAGTTTTTTGCATTTTCCAAGACTCCAGAAGTTGAAAGAAAATAGAGTACGGACCCTTTATACAAGAACAGTTCTTCAACCAAAAAATAATAATGATAAAAATAAAAGGCTAACCTTGTCCATTCGAGCTAAATCTGAAATAATCATAAGAGCATCTAGTGTGACTTCTTTCGGGCTTGAATAATCAAGCAACCTTCTCCACCGATTAGGATCCAACAGGCCTTTACTCACAAGTTGAACTGCAAGAGGGCGATAGTTTATCATTTTAGCAAGGAAGGCAACAGGCCTGCCCAAATCTTTTGACTCCATATGCTCCAAACATCGAAGAATAACTACAGGCACTCCCACCTGGAAACTTCAAAAGAAATGAAATGAGAAACGTATAGGTCTCTTGCTACTATTATGTGTCATGCTTCAGCACTTAAAGCTAAATCTGAACATAAAGATTTAGATATTTCTAGTTTTCCTCAATAGAATTAAAAAGAAGACACAAATTAAGAAACCAACTGGAAGGAAGGTACAACTATTGAATGGTTGATAAGGTTGTTATGAACATGGGTTTTAAAATCATCCTGTTATAGTGCTTAGAACCCGTACCAAAACTAATATGAACATGAAAGGAAGGAATAGAAAGATATCCACAAAGAAGAAGGCATTTTGCACCTAGATTTTGCATCAGTTTCTTAGTGGTCTACACATGAGAATGAAAAATAATTGAAAATAAGCATCATTATGAGAATGATCATGGAAAGTAAATACTTACAAAAACATTAATCTTCAAAAAATGCTCATTTTCATTAACTTACTAATATAGTCCTTGTCAAAACAGAACTTCTAATTCATATAAAAAAAATACTGAATAATTGACATTTTCCATTATTATGGTGTAGCTAATATCACTACAAAAATATTCACTCTAAGAGACCAAACTTTTTATTACCAAAAAATTTTTGGTAGCAGAAAACACACTTTTTACTACTAAACTTTGGTAGCTGAAAGTATCAAGGCTTTAGTTACCAAATTTGGTAGCAAAAAGAACACAATCCGCTACCAAATATAATTTGGTAACAAATAACATGATAGGAAATGAAATTTTGGTTTCCACCAATAGCTTTTTGCTACCAAAATAATATTTGGTAACAAAAACATAAGATTCTACCACCAAAAATTTCTTTGCTACCAAACATGTTTTGGTAACAAAAAGTTGGCAGGAAGCAAAATTTTTTCCCGCCCGAGGTATTTGCTACCGAATTATTTTTGGTAGCAAGACATATAACATTTGCTACCAAAAGTTGGAAGCAAAATATAACTATCTGCCACCAAAATTTGGTAGCGAAAAAAATCAAGTTTTTGCTACCAAAAAACATAATTTTTTGCTACCAAATTTGGGTAGCAGAAAACATGATTATGCTACCAAATTCTTATTTTGGTGACAAAAAGGTGTTTTTTGCTACCAAAAGTTGTGTTTGGTAGCAAATCATATAAAAACATTAATATTTATATTTTGTGCTTGTATTGCTTTTTTTTTTTTTTTTCAATTTTCTATGAATATGTCCTATATTAAGTTTTAACAATCATCACAGTATATTTTGTATAACCATTATTTGATAATTTAGTTATTTTGTGTAGGTGTAACAAGAGACATGTTCATGTGTACGCATATGTGATCTTGTTAATTAAGTATATGTTCCACATAGAGTAGTATATAATATCGTTATTTGATTGATTTTTAACTTTGAATAATGTATTTCAATTTCAAAACTACATTTTTTGTTATAATGTTATTTGAACAATGATTCTTAAATAATTTTTGACATTAAAAAGTTATTTTGTAATGTTTCATATACGTCTTTCTGGTACCAAATTCATATTTGGTAGCCAAAAATATGCTTTCAACTACCAAAACAATGTTTGGTAATGAAAAACATAAGTTTCTGGTACCAAATTTTGGTAGCAAAAAACATGATTCTGCTACCAAATTCTTATTTTGGTGACAAAAAGACGTTTTTTGCTACCAAAAGTTGTGTTTGGTAGCAAATCATATAAACACTTTAAAACTTACATTTTGTGCATGTATTGTTTTTTTTTGTTTTTTTTGTTTTCCATAAATATGTCCTGTATTAAGTTTTAACAATCATCCTAGCATATTTTGTATAACAATTATTTGATAATTTAATTATTTTGTGTAGGTGTAACAAGAGACATGTTCATATATATATATATATATATATGATATTGTTAATTAAGTATATGTTCCATATAGAGTAATATATAATCTTACTATTTGATTACTTTTTAACATGGAATACTATATTTCATTTCAAAACTATATCATTTGTTATAATGTTACTAGAATAATGAGTCTAAAATAATATTTGTCATCAAAAAATGTTTTTTTTTTTTTAATTTTTTAATATATTTCTTTCTACTATCAAATTAAATTTTAGTAGCAAAAAATATGTTTTTGGCTACCAAAATAATGTTTAGTAACAAAAAATATAATTTTTTGATACCAAATTTTGGTAGCAGAAAATATAATTATGCTACCAATTTCATATTGTGGTAACAAAAAGAAGTTTTTTTCTACCAAAAGAACAAAAACATTTTTTTTGGTAACAAAAAAAGCACAAAATTTTTGTGGGAAAATCATTTTAACCTAGCTAACCCACCCTAAAATTTCAAAACTCACCCACCCTAAATTTTCAAAACGCAGCCACACAACCTCGCTTAGACCCATCGCCTACATCCATCGCCCTTCTTCCCCTAAAATTTTCAGAAATCCCCTTCTTCCCCTAAAATTTTCAGAAATGCGCGCCATCTTCTTCAGAAATTCCTCCCCCCTTCTTCCTCTCTTGCCCCTTCTCTCTCTAGCCGCTGATTCTCGGCATCACAGACTCCGATTCCCGCTTTCGCCGCCGTCAATTGTCGCTGTCGCTGTCGCCGATTATCGTCGTTCCGGTCAATTCTATCTCTCTCTCATCGTGGGAATGTTTTTAGTTTTATTGTTGATTTCAACTTTCTTCTTGCTGATTGCATTATAAAAACTCATTCTTGATCAGTGACAACATATAGTTTCTTGTCAGACTCCGATAACATAAATCTCAATTCATTATTTTAGAAATTAATCATTCTAATTATAATAACATAATGAACCGTGAGGAATAAAACAAAAAAAAAAAAACAAAAACATAACAATCACACAAACGTAATGAACTAAAATCCAACAAAATTATTAAAAAAAATAAGATAGGAAAAATTGAAAAAAAAAAAAAGGAAAAAGTAACGAAGCAAACCCTTTTGAATTCAACACAGCAAAAACCTTGGAGCATCGCCAACAACAAACAAAACGCAAAATACTCCTCCACCCAGCAAGCAAATGTAGAATCAGTCTCTTATGATATAGCAGACAACAAAACAAAAAAAGCAAAACAATCTAGTCCTCTCCTCAAACAAACGACCTTCAGCCACGATATTTGTTTTAAAAATGAAAAGCCGAGGGAAATTCTTAATTCAAAATCCATGTCAATATTACATTAAATGCATTGATAGCAAAACAATTAAGCCAACCGTAATCACAAAAAGTCAAATATTAGAAGTTTCAGGTGATCTACTTTAGTAATAGCTCTAATTTACTTTCTACCGATATTGAAATCTTCTATATTCAACACTTCTGGACTTTGCGTGCATTCTGTGGTAAAGAAAACTTAAACTGACTTACAATGAGATTTAATACATTACAACGACCAAGGAAACAAAAACCGTATATATAAAAATAAAAAATAGCATCGTATTTTTATTAGGCAATATCAACAAAGAAAAGAAAAAAAAAAAAAACACACTATCATGGTATTGACCTCAGGTTGTGCGTCTCAGGTTAATGCCTTTTTCTCCCCTTAGCTTTGATCGCAGCCACAAAATCTAAAGCCTTGAGGAACCATTCACGCTTGTCCACTGCAAGAAACTGCTCCATCGCCACCCCGAATATCAACCCGCCAACAAATCCTGGCACTATTGTAACCCAATAAACTTCAAACCAAGTCCCTGAATCTTGACCATCTTCATCGAAATCTTCAGGCACTGAAGATGGGGCTCTAGGAGTATTCAAGCTTTGCAAAGGATAGCCCCACAATCCTAAATTTCCCTCGTACGAGGTACTATCGAATGTAGAAAATTGGCTCCCTTGTGGTATACCTCCTTGGAGACGGTTAGAAGAGACGTCGAAGAATTCAAGAAATGTGAGTTGCACCAGTTGTTGAGGGATTTTTCCTGATAGCTTGTTTCGAGAAAGATCAAAGGACTCGAGCTGCGTCATGTTGGACAAGGATGGAGGGATGCTACCAATAAGCATGTTGTCGGAAAGATTTAGCGCTTGTAGCCCTCGTAGGTTTCCAATACACTCTGCAATGTCTCCTTCAAATCTGTTGCTTGAAAAATCAATGACTGCGAAAACTTCTAGTACCTTATTATACTCCATATCATTGCCCTTGTTTGTTATGGTAATTGAGTTTGTATAAATGTATCGATACAATGTGAGATTGACACTCGTACCCAAATATAACGAATTTCTAGCATCAAAATCTTTATTGAAACAAAAAGCAGCATTGAAGACAGCAACAACACGAAAGAAAACTAGGAGGAGAATATTGAAACAAAAAATCAATTTTATTTTTTTTATTTTTTATTTTTTATTTTTTATTTTTTTTTATTTTTGATATGAGGTTAAATGAGTAGTAAGGTACTCCTGACTGTGACATGTTACGTCATTCTACACAAACATAACATTCAAGCAGTCAATGCTAAGGTTGAACCTGCCGCATGATTAATTCAATATTGTTGATATCTAAACCAAAGACTTATTCCAACAAAAAAAACAAGAGAGTAAGAAATTAGTCAGTGACTAAAGGAAGTAGGAAACATGCAACTCCACATATAAAGAGAAACCCTTCAAAAACGTTTCTAGATTTTTAGCTGTTTAGTATAATATAGCTTATAAATGATCCTCGCCAGGACTGGGCCGGTTCAATCATTAGGCGTGAAATGAAAGACCTTAACTAATGGCATGTTTTGTTGGTGGATTCGTGTCATGATTTGAATCATGGTTCGTGGTTCGCTATAATATTTTCTCTCACAAAAAAATACATGTAAATCGAGAATAGTTCTGAATCATGATTCTAAATCCATAAACTAAACGTCCACTAAGTGTGGATGGCCAGTTTGGTCACTTTTTTTAAATAAATGGCCCAACTTTTTTTAGATAAATGGTGAATATATATATATATATATATTTATTTTAAATTTGAATTCTAAACTTAGTGTTAAGATTTTATTTCTTAGGTTAATAGAGACACTATGCTTGTCAAAAAAAAAAAAAAAGGAAAAGAAAGAAACAATATGCATTGTGAACTTAGTATTTAGATTTCATTTATTTTTCTTGAAAGAAAGAATAAATTGATCAAAACACCTGTTGAACGTGTCATAATCGTGTCAATTATTCCCGATATACTAATCCTAAATGAGTTATTCTCTATATACTAATCTAAATGAGTTAATAGATTCGTTTTTGGGTTAATGTTTTCTTACACGTTTATTAATGGGTGACATAAACGCAATCCATGAACGTGTATTACACACTTCCACATACAAGGACCGAGGTTTGGATCATTCCAATTAGAAAGCACGAGAAATTACGTACTCAGTAGAGCATGAAGTGGTAGGCCTTAACTAATTATTTAAGATTTTTTTTTTTTTTTTATTGTGCGCTCAATTTGTAGTTTAGGATGTTATCTTTTTAGACTTTTTTTTTTCTCTTTTCTTTCTTTCAATTAATAAGAGACACGCATTTGAAGACAGCAGAAGATGATTTATAAGCTCAACACATTTGCATGTCGTCTCTAACCAGAAAAAGAATTAAAGTTATATAAGAGTTTTTAAAAAAAAAAACTTAAGTAGGGAGATATTTAAAATGAATTATTTTGATTAAAACACAATGAGAAAAAAAAGTATTTCAAGAAAGGATATTATAAAAGAAATGAATTGTTAAAAAATATAAGTGAAAATAAAAATAGAAAATAAGCAAAAGAAAAGAAGAAAATTATTTCAAAAAAGAAAAGAAGAAAAAAATAAATAAAAAGTTTATAAAAGAAAAAACTAAAAATAAGTTGTATATAAGTTCTAAACAAAATGGAAAAAAAAGGAAGAAACCAAAAATGAAAAGAAATAGAAAAAGTAAAAAAATAAAAATAAAACACAGAGAGGGAGAGGATGACACATGGCTAAAAGAGTAGTATTCTTCTTGGCTCTTTTATGTATGTTGAGATTTGTAAAAGAAAAAAATTAGAAATACCACTTAATATGGTAAAAAAAAAATTTATTTATATATCACTCTACTAAAAAAATAAACAATTGTCATTTGAATAATGTTAAGGACACCAACTCAAATCTCAACTTTTGTGTACCAACTAATGTGGTATGTGAATTGTCATATTTTTATTAGTAAATGCAATCTCTTATCAATAATTGTCGTGACAATATTTTAGACACTTATCAACATAAAAGTGACAACTTATATGCCACATCAGTTGATGCATAAAAATTGAGATTTGAGTTGGTGACCCTAGCATTATTCTTGTCATTTAATTAATAAAGAGAAAATAAAAGACTATGATGACACGCAATAATTATTTAAAATGACATAAATAATATGTTTGTACAAAACCATGACAAACCATATACTTTTTCTCTATTTTTTTAATAATAGCTTATAAATAACAGACTTGAAGTTAGATATATCTAATTTTAGTGTCTAAAATGATGTTTAACCAACCATATTTTGGCACGTCATTTAGAAAATGATATGAGTTTTAACAGACTGTCATGCTTTAACATTTGTCCATTAATGGATAACAATATGGCATAGTGTAATAATTGATTAAACACTAATTTTGACATGAAAATTAGACAAGTGATACATATGAATTCCTAAATCATCACTACACAATCTACACTTGAATTTAGGTCAATTTACCAACATGAGATATTAATAAGTAACTAGGCCTAAAGTCAAATTTCTAAAGAAAAAAATTGAAAATTCGATAAAATTTGTCATCTATCTATTTGACATATTCAACCTTGTTTAACATTTTTTAAATTTGTCTGGTTATTTACTGCTTTTCATTCAATTTCTCACATTAGTGCACCTTTTTAGCGTGCAGGAACTCTGCAAAGGAAATAAAATCAAGATCCACAAAAATACGATTTCTCACATTATATAATGCTAAAACTTGAATCTTCATTCTCATACTTATGTTCCATGACATACTGGATAAAATTTCTAATATTACAAATTTCAGTTCAGGAACGTTGTTGCTGCATCAAGAGACCTTATTTGAGAGATATCATTCAAATAAGTTGTAATTATTTTCTTATTTTCTAGAACGAGTAATATGACAACAAGAGAACCACCATCTACTCTAACTAGTTAGTAACAAATTAATGTCCTCAACTATTCAACCAACCATACCTCGCAAATAAGTTTCCTGAATCTTACTAACTGCATTTACGGAGACATCGCGATCAATTTCGTGAACATGAAGCTCAATCTCCATAGCAAAAAAAAAAAACCTTGGAGCCTATAAAAACAAGCACCTAGTTCCAATTAATATGGTAATAAGAAAAAGAAGAGCTTTATTTATTTTTTTCTATAAGACAAACATCCAAACTTCCAAGTGAGAATTTCATTGATCTAATAAAAATTACACAAGTGAAAAGAGTAGGAAATGAGATTTGATAGATAATAAACAGAGATAAACTAACATTGACACATACACCAGATCAGTACGTTGTACTGTTATTAATCTTAATCGTTCCTTTTTAAACCATCTAATCATATCCATATATTCGTTTTGATATATGGTTTAACTTTCATTTTTGTTCCACTCTGAGATTCCTTAAGTCGTTCATCGTCGATATTTGGAGGGCTTGCTTTCATTTTTGTTCCATCTAATCGCTCTTTTCTTCAGCCTTTTATATGATTTTTATCTCATATAATTAGAAGTCTCTGGCTGAGAAGAGCTACTCTAGTATTAGGTCTAATTCACTTTCTACCGATATTGATTCTTATCTTCTATATTTTCTCGACGTTAGTGAGCAAATTTTTCTAAATTCTGATATTTTCATCCTTTGTTCAACTTTCTAGCTAATCGTAAATGTTGACTGTGGAGTACGCTCAGAAAAGAGAAATGATAAAGACGGTCTCTGAAAGTACGGATGAACGGTTTAAAACTTCTGGACTTTGTGTGCATTCTGTGGTTAAATAAATAATTTTTAGTTATATACTCTTATTGCGGCCGTTTTTTTTTTTTTTTTTTGCTCAAGTAAGTTTTTCATTCAAAAAGCATGGACGACTACCACAATAAAATAAAACCTATCACATGTGATTAAATATCTGATCCCAATTTTTTTTTTAAAGGTTTTTAGCACATTTGCCTCTTAACTTGTCGTGGTTTAGGAAATTGCCCTCCAAACTATTAATTATGATAAGTTGCCCCTTAACTTGTAAATCTGTTGCAATATGTTCTATTTTGATGACAATTGTGTTAAATTAAAGTAAAAAAAGCATGTTCACCTAAAAATTTCAACACTCCAATTTAAATATAACACAAATCTTTTAATATATCAACTTTTAATTGCTTAAATCTAATAAAAATTGTGAACAAATTTTGTTAAATGAGGCACATTACAATAAATTTACAAGTTCATGGAGCAACTTGCTAGAATTAAAATTTAGAGGGCAATTTGTTAAACCATGATAAGTTCGGGAGGTAATTGTGCTAAAAACCAAAAAAAAAAAAAAGGCCGTGAGATGTTCGTGAGATCTGGTTTAGGAGGCTAGAGTTGCTCGTCGTCCGTGAGATTCGTCAAGGAGGCCGGAGTAGCTCTCGCCGCCATAGGAGGGGAGGTTGGATTTTGCCTGTCGAGGGTTGGAGTTTCGGTTTTTGCCATAAATTGGGGAAAAATCTGCATTCAACTTTTTAATTAATATTTTGATAAGAATTCCATGTCTCCTATTAATTTAGTTGAGGACATATCGTAGTTTATTTTGCCAAGTTTCAGAAATTTTTATTTTATGGTTGGACAGTAGACTAGTACTAATCTTACATTAATGCTTGCTATCTTTTTTTTTTTTGGATCGTATGACTAATATATATATTACTAGTAAAGATGCGAAAGAAAGATTGATATCTGTGGCTTTGCCATTATTTAAATGATACCGATTCAAATCTTAATTTTTATATACTAATTAATGTATCATGTGGGTTATTATTTTTATTGGTTATGCTCATATTTATATAATTTATTTTTCTAAAGAAATATAATAGTAAATTTCTCTATGTGTGTAAAATAATTCATACTCAAAAGTCAAAACTTAAGGAAAAAAATAGAGAGATAAAAAAGTTATAATATTTAAGTAATAAG